CGCAAGGCTACGCTCATGACCTCGCATCGTCTTTGTCTAGCGCTATCTAGCGTCTGTTTACCCGCGAGGCCGAATGCATCATACCTTCGCTGCGTACTCGACACCTAAATGATTATTGAAACCATAAATTCATCGTTAGGGTATGTTTCTTTTCATCAAAAGCCTTGAAGATAATGGGTCTGATAACGAGGCTACATGTAATGTAGATAGAATCAGGAGTCGTTTTATTTTTATATTTAAACGAAAAAGGGCCTTAAAACGTTACACTCTGCGTACGATATAAGCAATAATTCTTAAACCATCTTAAAAATGAATAGTTACTTCATGGCCAATGCCATATACGTAAAACTTCTTGAACATCTTTTAAAGTACATTATTAAATTTACAGGTAACGGCGAGACGTAATTGATCCTGCCGGCTGGATGATAAGTCGAAGGCTTTTAAAGAGCTGTAAGTACATTCGGTTCCTTATTTCCATATTTATCATGGCTTATGGTGTGACGTCAGTCGAGATATAATGTCTGATATACCTGAGGTCGTTGGATACTTCGCTAGCGACTTCTTCATTGGTACCTGCGATCGATAAATTGCGTATCCATAAACTCAGACGGTAGCTATTGATTTAAACAAGGCCAAACAAAGGCCTATGCGGACCAAACAACAAGACAAAACAATAAAAAAATTAAACTTATAAGCGGTGCGGAGGAGTTTTTTTAAGCGCACTTCGAATGTAGGCGACCTTGTAACGGCTTACAATTCGGGGTGAGCTGGCTACGCCGCGCCGGTGTCACCGCCGACGGAAAACGACCGATACGAGGAAAAACAGTCGTATATTATGTTAAATCATGCAAAATGTCTTTAACGACGTGTGAATAGCGCCCTGCTACAATTATACGCTGACCGTGATGACATTTTGAGACAGTCATCGACAATTCACATTCATCTTTGAATTATCTAAGATTAGATAAACCGATTTCTGGCGATTTTATCTTTAATCTTGGGAATGTCTGTGGTTTTTAAATTAATCCCGTCATTTATATTCGAGAAAAAAATTATAAACTGAATTCCTGTCATATAAAATAAAAACATGTTGATAACGAATTTGACTTTCACCCCAATTGCGCCTTAAACAGTCAACTTAGTATCGGTTTTAGTTTTTCTGATGTAGGCATAAGAAATTATAAAACGAAATATCGACAACATAACGTACGGCGCATACCAGAGTGTTTCAGGGTTGCCACCGCCAATCAATTATCTATTGAGGTGCT